GCCACGCACACACTTTTTTCTAAAAAAAATAAAGCCAAGGCAATTTCAAATAAACACATCAAATATCAACACACTAACCTACACACTAAATTTCGAAAATTTAAATTTAGAAAGCAACGAAAAATTTATTGAGTAAAAAGCAAAGAAAAGATAATAAAAACGCAAACATAATTTAATGCTGCTTTGGTTTTTTTGTTTTCCTTCGCGCAAAATACAAACTTTGCAGCAACTACATACAATCAAAACATTGGCCCGAAGACCTTTCGCCATGTGCGTGCGTACCTTATCTATCTTCGTGTACTACTTTTTTTGCGAACAACAAATAATTGGCACAAAATCGTGTGTGCCCTAGTTTATTCGCGATGCGCCCACATACATATATATGTGTTTACGCACTTTCCAACAAACATTTATATCCAAATACGCACAGACTATTTGCTGGCGGTGTCAAAATTAATCCAAGCGAATGCCGACGAATATATGCATACATACATAGAAAATAGAACGCCTGTGTTGTGGGTATGCATGGAATTGTAGTCGGCGGTTTTCAGAATTTGTTGTGACGTTTTCATTAAAGAGTTTTTTGCGTAAGCAGAAGTGAATATGAATGAGTGTTTAACCATGGACAACAAATGAGTGAAAAAAACTAGGGCTAAACATTCGGTTAAGTGGTATTAGTGAGTGACAAGTACAAAAGAAAGTCAAACAAAAGTGAAGTGGGTTACTTAAGAAAGGCTAAAAACAAATAGCTGAGGGGAATAGAGAAAAAAATGGAAATCGAACAAAAGGAGAGGGGGATGCCGTTAGCCAATAGCTGTGGAAGTTATTTTTTTTTCGTTAAAGCAAATTGCCTGAAAAGTCACCGCAAAAGCAACGTTTGTGCTCGTGGCTTAAGCTAATACACCTATTCAACCGGTAAATGTTTATTCATATTTAATTATTTAAGTACTATTTGTAGCAATAGTTTGTCTGTGAAATTTTCGCATTCTTTTTTTCAGCATTCTCTCATGGAGAATACAATAGATCGCGCGAGCGGATTAAGGAATTTACGCGCAAACTATTATCTTCTGGCTTTTTTATTTGACAAAACGCTATTTAGGTCATGGTCCTCATTACCGTTGTCTACATATACAGTGCCAATTACGGTGAGATAAAGGAAAAGAATGAATTTTGTCACACTGTCGAATATAAAAACGCTCAATAAAAAGCGCAAATCTTAAGGCGGTGAGCCTGTAAGTAGCTTTAATAGAATTCTGAATTTAATATTATGTACTGTAATTTTTTTCAGATTAGCACAGAGAGTTAGTATATTCGTGCCACAGATAATTTTAAGGAAATAGAAGAAATAAAAAGAAAAATACCCCTTTTTTGATTTGAACAATTAAAGAACCTAAACTCAACTAGGTTTTTAGTCCCACAGTGCTTAATTGGAACCTCAAATAAGTAAGTAGTAGTACATATGTATGTATCTATGTATAGTATATATTTCAGGTTCTTCGTGCAAACACACACGTCTGGGATAAGAAAACGAAACAGCATCTTTAAAGTCTGAGATGAAAACTGCAAAATGTGTCGGAGATCTTAATTTTTGCATACATACATAAGTGCGTACATACAAAGTAAAGGCTACAAAGATAACACATAACATTTCGCAACTCTTTAGAAAGCTGATAAGAAACCAAATAATGAAAGAAACTGACAAAATATTAACAGGTAAGCGACAGAATACAATACGTACATACATTTACACATCGTTTTGTTCACAGGCTGACATTGTAAATCGCGGATTCGTCCACGAAATCAAAGGCGACCAAGAGAAATTGCAAATAAAAAACTGCAGACAAAAGTCCAAAACCCCAAGCTAGCGCCTAATTGAAAATACACATACATAGGTACTTACTCGAAATCCCAGAATCGACATAAAGGCTTGTAAAAGTATGCCACCAGGCCCAGAAATAACTCGAAAAAAACGAGAAAATAAAATAAAGAAACTGAACAGCAAGATTTTGGGTCACGTGCTACAAACAGCGACTCGGATTTCGAACAGAAAACCCCGCGGAAAAGAGATCTGAAAGAAGCTGGACACTCACCTGCGGCATACAGGCGAACATACATATATTTGTATGCATGTAACACGATCGACAGAACTGTCTGACATGAAGATTTGAGATCCTACTACATTTGTATACGCAAGTATGTCTTACCATGGGCCGAAAGAGTAAGAGCAGAAATACAATAAGTAACATTTGTGTAGCACCCGCGGTGGAGTTGTAAATAAACAATCGAGATGAACGAGCGTACAGCGATCGCTGAAACATTTATGACGTGAAAACGTTTGTGATGTAGGGAGCGAATGCTTTTGAAATCACTGTTTGTCCAATGTTTACGCATTTTTATTACTTTGTTTTGTTTCGGTTGGAAACAAGAACTGATCGTAAATAACAAGTGAACGAGTTGAAATGAAATGCGTACCGTACGTCGATGGTAGCGAAAATTCGGCGGTGAAATAAGAATTAAACAGCAGTAACTTGTAGTGTGTGGTAAGAAGTAGGCGGCTGGACTTAAAAGTTTCAAGATATGTACCAGCAAATTTAAAGCAGCTTAATTTTAAGCCTTAGCCAGAAATGGAGATCAACGTGTCGCTGACCCAGTTTCAGCTTATATACAATGTCGATAGCGAAAATCATTTTAATGAAGGCGATACCCTGAAAAGCACGAACTGTAGATATGTATGTAACAGTAAAAGTTGCCTTATCTTATTTTTTAATGCAGGCCAGTCAAGGCGTTCAGCTTACCCATTTCGCTTGCGGAAATATAGTCATCAGTAAAACATTTTGGAAACATACCTAAAATGAGAGAAATAAAGAGAAAAAATTAGTACATAAAGATTTTGGAAGTAGGTACTAAAGTTTTGTAAGTAATATTGCTAAAGCTAATATTCTTAGCGTTTAAAATTAAATATAATCGGGTGGTCCAAAAATGAAGCTTCTCAAAGTGTTCCATGTAATTTATACGAGAAAAACATTTTTCATGGAAATAATATGTGAATTTTTGAAAATCAATCATTTCCAATTGGAGAACCCTGTGTTGAGCGACCTACATTATTTTCTTTTTTTTTTTTAAATAAAAAACAGGGATGACAGCATTAAAAATTTTTACCACCCTTATGTCGATTTACGGCAAAAACTAATTAATAAACCTTTTTCCGATAGTTGTTTATAAAAGTATGGTTCATACTACAACAAAAAACATAAAATATATTAGTAATTTTAAAAAAATTATTTGTATGGAAAAAATGGGAAACACCAGCAAACAAAAAATTTCAAAAATCAATCCGATTTTTTAGCAATTTCAAACTTGTTTACACTAAACTTTAAAGGACTACAAAACTGCGTACTGTGAAGAAATTTCTAGCGAATCTGATAAAAAATGTAATAAATTTGCATGAGAACTTATTCGATTTTCCTGAATTTCCCACAAAGTGTTGAAATTATACTTTATGTTTTTTGTTGTAGTGTGAAAAATATGTTTATACAAAATTAGCGGGAAATTAAAATTGTTGCATATTTTATGAAAAATTTTCTATGCCAATACTTTGCTCTGAGTGTGTATCCTACGCACAAAAACGCCTCTGTAGGGCCTAATTGCTGCGAATTATTCGCTCTATTATGATGAAAAATGCGGTGTACCCATTTTAATGTATAATATATATGTAACTGACATGCCCATTACGCCCAGCTGTCATGAAGCTGTCACTCAACAAAACAGGCACACATTCCTCTCGTGGAAATTACTAAATTTTTGCATGAAAAGCTAAAAATTTACATACAAGTAACATGAAAAGTGGTGATTTTCTAGAGTGGAAAATAAAGAAAATAAAAATTCAAACGAGCTTGCAATGATGAGGAATGTTTCAAAAATATACCAACAAGCGAATAAAACTAAAGAAAAATTATACGCGCGTTTGCATGAGCAAATAGCAAGTTGGAAAAAAGTGAAAACACTTTCTGCCAGCGCAGAAATGTAAATTATTTCATTTCTTCCTATGCATACATACATTCTTATTTTAAAATAAATATCAACATGAATGAATCGTTCACGATTATAAGAGCAGGCGCGAAGCAGAACGTGGGCATATTGCTGATAAGTGGCTGCAATGAATCTACCACATTATTCCACCATAGCTGCCTTGCATTTCAACACATTCTAGCAATTGCTCTCCAACAATTTGTTGCGCATTCTCGCTGATAATTCACCGCCGCTGCCATCTCTACACCTCAGTCCTGCAATTGTCGTGCGAGCAGCTGCTGTACTAAATATATAAAATGGATGCCGGCACAACTCGGTGGAATGGCTACGCAAATTGCCGATTATGATAATATCATCACATGTATGATGCATGTATGTACGCCTGTAATGATTTTTAATTGCACTAATTGCATAGTGCCACAGAAAATTTCTATAAAACTGCACAAGGCTGCATACATATGTATGTATGTACATACTATATGAGAGAGAGCAAAAAAAATTAGCTTCAGCTGCCTGTGATCAAATTTTCAAAGTAAACAATAACGCTACGAGTTACACTATTTACAATACAGCTTAGTTCATTACCCCACCTGAAAGTAGCGTAGCCTTTACCTAATTGCATTTGCACAAAAGTTGGAAAAAAATGTGTAAGAAAAAAAAAACAAGTTTTTGTTGCGCTGAAAAATATCTCCAATGACGTCACTCAGCTAAGGTGCATGAAAACTATTTTTAGACATTTCATTTTCGCTTTTAGTTTACCATTGCATTCTGACGTTTAGCATTTTAGTACATGCAATAAGAATACCCCATAATAAACCCATAAACTAAGCTCTAGTCTGCACACATACATACATCGAAAGGGCCACTGCCAGTAAGGGCAGTAAAAACATTGCACTACCATCAAGAATTGCCTTGCACTTTGCACTTGTAATGCTTTGCAGTCGTTCGCCTCTCTACAAGAGATAAGCTGCAAGCTAGAGCGAGACAGTCGCACAGTTGCATATGTACAAGATGCATGCACAGTGCACACCTAGGTAGATGTACATACATATAAATACATACTTGCATTTGCGCTCGCTGCACATCAGTCAACTCAAGTCAAGTGCATTGCTGTTCTGCTCACGGCATATTGGTGTGGCGTTGACGTCGCTGCTTGCGTCATTGCCAACTATACTAGTATACGTACATAGACAACAGATGAGAAATCAGTTCGTCGTAAACTATTCATATATGTACCTAGTTACCGGTGTTTCGTGTGCTGGCCGATCGATCAACCGACCGACCACCCGTTCATGTGCGCTTGCCGCGAACACGTTTTTATAGGTTAATGACACAAAATGAAATTAAAATTAAATAAAAATAGAAAATGGCAAAACTACTGCAACTATGTACATACATATGTATGAATACATATTTATTATAAACGTTCGTGGTAAAGGCTAGCGACGAAGTGGGCGCCTTCAAACAAGTCATTGCAATAGTATAATGGTTGGTCAGTCGGTCGGTTGTTGTCATAATAATAAAAGTGAAAGAAAAGTACTTTTTCTAAATAGCAGAAACAAGAAAAAAAAGATGAGAAAATAGCAAAACGATGAGTAAGAGTATAAATAATTGCGAACAAAGTGACAATTGAACGTTGCAAGTAAAATATTGCGTATGTACATTAGGGTGCATCTTATCATATTTTCCAACTTTGACCCACAAAGCAAGATTCCCTCTCGATGGTTTCTTTTGGTCATAAAAATGTGCTCGGTGGAAAAACTTTTAAATTCGGATAATGGAAAGGTGTGCCTCAAGCGATGCACACTAATATGAAGTACCTACTACAAATAGGTTTGTATTTACGTTCTGTTTTGTGCAAATATACCTCTCACATTTCACCTGCTCCTTGCGGCGCAAAGCAGGATTGCATTAGCTGTCATACATAATCGCGGCTCTTTCGAGAATTTTATTATTCAAAACCTTATTATTTTTTATGGTAAGTGAAGGCATGTTAACTAAAGAGGGAACAAAACAAAAACATGCACTTCGTGGCACTTGTCATAGCCCGAAGTCAAATGTCACGCAATGGAATAAAATAGAGCAACATTCATGAGGTATGACTCAGTACTTGAAAGAATACGAACTTGATTTACTATGTACTTACATACACAATAGTTTAAGTAGTCACAAACAGCAGATAATGCGAGTAATTTTCAAATTACGTTTGCACGATTTTGAAACTCTATCGTACAAAACTAGTAAAATATAGTTAATTGAAATTATTGTCCATTGCTAGGTATGACTTTTTCTTACTCGCCGCTCGATATCTCTTGGTTTTAGTTCGTGAGGAACCCAGCTTCTCACTTTCTGGGCCAATGGATTTCCATCGCAATGAAATGTCTTTTTGAGTCACGCCTAAGATTACCGCAAAGTCTTCGTCCACAATTGCCTTCGATTCGGCGTCTAAAAACGTTGACGGCCTTCCCATACACAGTCCAAAATTAACATGGTTTATCTTCTGGACTGCGCTTGAATCAAAATCTATATTTCGGTGTTTATATACACTAAATTGAGCATAAGACCTTAAACTGAGCATTGAGAAACTCGCACGCGATGTTTTCGTTACAGGAGAATCTCGTGAGAAATCGGCCCTCGCAGGAAATTGTTTCTAGAGCCATTTTGGTAAATCGAAGGTTCAATTATTTATGCACTGTGTATCGATACAACCATTTTAACCTATTCAGAGAGTTTTTTGGATTTTCAGCCTGTACCTGAGTAAAGTTAAAGACCCAAATAGCGCTGAACACCTGAAAAACCTGGTGTTGAGTTCTACCCTCTGAATAATTTAGTACTCGGTATTTGGATATTCAAGCACCCAATGAGACCAAAAAACTGTCACTGGCATTGTCTTATAGTTACGCTATACTATATGTGCGATATCTGTGTGACAGCTGATCACAGTTAGTTTGTTTCAGTACTCCAGGAAACTAAAATTGACTATCAAGTTGCGTGCAGCCTACGTCACAGCTGGCAATTCAAATAAATTTTGTCAACGAAGACCTCAGAATTCACTTTTGTTGCGTGCAGCCTACGTCACAGCTGTCAATTCAAATAAACTTTGACAACGCAGACCTCAGAATCCACTTCTGAGGACCAAAGTTTTAAGTATACCATCGAAGTCTTGTGGTGACGTTGTAGTCTCCGACCAAACAACCGTTGGTATGGTGTACACGTTATGGCGAAACAACAAGCTGAGTTCCAGCTTTAAGATTCGGCTTTTCAAATATAATACATATATTCTAGATACTACTGTACAGGAAAGTCACTACTGCAATAATCAGACACCTAAAGGTTTTCGCATACAGACTTCTTAGAATAACTGAAACTATCTCAAATGAGGAGTTGCTCAGAAAAGCTAATATGGATCCCTTTGACATCTCGATTCGGAGACAGAAATGAAAGTGGATTGGCCAGACTTTACGCAAATGGGTCGGCAGTACTTGAAAGAAGGCCAACGAGTGGAAACCCTTAAACGGAACGTGGAAAAGAACAGTCGATCGAGAGGCGAAGCAGTTTGGTTCAAACTGGAAAGAGCTCAAAGCGATTACCAGAAACAGAACCAGAACCGCTCGTGACTAAAGGAAACGAAGTGTTTTGTAAAAGAAAAATGGTATACAATTTAAGCTTCGATGGAAGGAGAAAACTTTTGCTGAATACTTTAAAAACATATATGTAGTTAAGTGATGTAATACCCTCGAAACCATTCATATCATTTGCCATATTTCCCTCCCATTTACGCACTTACATAGTACATACTACATTTAATTGTTTTTTA